AAACTGATCTGCCTGGTTATTGCGGTTGAGCGGCGAGATCTTCTGCTTTCATCTCATTTTTTTATCAGCCATGTACTGTTTCCATTTTTGTTTTGTTTTTCTTCTTTTTGGTGTGTGTGTGTGTGTGTGTGTGTGTGTGTGTACAGGCAGTCTGCATACTTTATCATGAGACACCCCAGCATTTCAGTTTGCTGTGACGCAGAACAAAACCAGCAATGGAAACTTGCACAAAAACTACTAATAGCTTGTTTATTCATGATTTTAAAGATAAGTTATTACAGTAAAGATGCATGTTAATAAAAATATATTGTGCAAATTTTGTTCTTTTTGTTTTTTGAGAAAAAAGAGGTACTTTTAAACTTCATGACTCAATAACAATGCTTTTTAAAATGCAGGGACATGTTAAAAAATGACCAATGCTATTTAGATTTAATCAACATGAAGTGGAGAAAAAAATCAGCTTTTGAACACTGAAAACAAGGTACGTGAAGCCAGCCAGAGTGAAGAGATGTGACTTCTAGTTTCTGAACTTCATCGRCACAAAATCGTTTCAAATTGCCACAGGCTGCTATTTTACGGAGCCACTAATAGAGAAAGGAGGAGGAGACTTTTTCGAGCTCACTTTGCTGTAAAAATAACAGAAAACAAAACAGTTACAGACAACAATGTGATGAAATTACAGAAGGAAACCAAACTTACAAATTTAAAAGAAAGGCAGTGTTGAGGAATGTACTTACCTTAGTACTCTGTCCTTCAATTTTGACTCTACAGAACACAAAAAAACATAATACATAAAAGGTTTATCCAGGACAATAACATGTTTTAATCTGATAGAAATCCAGACGTTGTATTTCACACAGCCAAAAAAAATAAAACAAATGTTTAACCTGTTAAGCCCCATGTATTTAACCTAAGTTCTCTTAGAAAGATGAGTGGTATCTATAGAAATGTCAGAATCTTGGCTAAAAACTAATAAAAAAGCATTTCTTCGTCCACCAGACACAGTTTAAATGACAAACAGTTYAAGAAAGCCTCTTGGGGCTTAAGAGGATAATGATTAGAGTTCAGTTTTGCGCATGTCATTCTCGGTGTTTGAGATTTTTAACATGTCTTCCAAATACAGTTAACGTCATTAGAGGTGTGAACAGCCTAAAATAAAATCTGAATCCACTTACTTTTTTTACTTTTCTTCTTGCAGCACTTTTTCCACTTCTTGCATTTATATTTGCAGCAGAATTGYACAATCCCGATGGTGAAGAGGATCAACAGGATCCCGAAGCCCACTAAAACTCCAACTGCTGTTTCGTTTACCCTGCTTCCTGTGGTTCAAAACACAAACAGGCTTCAGACCAGACCCACAGCTTAACACATTATCACAGAAACTCCCAAGAAACAAACAAGCTTGAAGAATYACTCATATTAAATTGACTAAGCATTGAATGTCTATCAAAAATATCCTAGTACTAAATCTAACAGGATTTGTCTGATTTGTATGTTAGTTACTAATTCCTTCGATGAGACATGATTGGGAAAATAAATCTGTAGAAAGTCTTCTTGGCTTTTTTTTTTTTTCAACAGTTTCTTCTCTAGAGAAACTGGAATTAGAAGTGGCTATGTGAGTTTAACAGCTCAGAATAGGAGTTAAAAGCAGTTTGTTTTCTATTGTGACGTAACATTTCCAAAAGTGTTCGCAATCCTGGCTCAAGCAAATGGTATAAAATAAGAACCTACAGAGCTTTCATTGTGTCAAACTGCCAGCCACTTCTAAACACATTAACAGGCAATGAATTAAAAAAAAACTGACGTTGCTCTTGTGGCTGTCAGACTCGTGTAACAGACCTGAAAGTACAGTGATTTACAGTTTCTTACCTCCATTCCCCATAGCTGATCATCCAGGATAACCCTTGTTCCCTCTTTTGTTGCTTCTCCTCTCCTCTCTGTCTTTTTGCTGTTCAGTTGAGCTCTGTCACTTATTTACTTGACTTGACATCTGTTTTTCTAAAATGTATTTGTCTTAATTGTAACAAACGTAAACAAGGAGCTCTTCCTTCTTCCCTCTTTGCCTACGTCTACCTTTCATGTCCCCATACCAGGCATTCTTTGAAAACAGGTCCATCTTCTTTCTTTATGCTGCCAGCAACCGACCCTCCCTTCATTAACTGACAAGAGAACAAAAAGATTTTCTGATGGCCTTTTGTTCTCAAAGACATCCTTTCAAAGCTCACTCTGATGTACTCTAGTACTGTGATGGAGCTAATTATCATATGAGAAAACTCTACCAAAACAACAAGAACCTTGTTATCCAGATACTCTTTGGTCTTATGGGGTTTCAACCTGTGTAATGTGGTTCATAAGGAGGATGTTTTCCCTACAGGTTACTGTTAGTTACACTGAAAAAAAAGGA